GTAGGTGGAGGCGATGTATTTCATTAATCCACTTTTTTAGTTCTTTTTTAAACTGCACAGAATTATACTGTTTTAAGATAATAGGCAAACTATTATAAAGCTTCGGTCCTAGGTATTGGAATGATCTCTGCATGACATTGACATGAGGCTTTGGTAAACATGCTCCCACTTTATGGCGGGTATCATATTCATGCTCAGTTTGGCGTAACTTATGTTTTAGTTGGTGCTGCTTCATGATGGTCTGGATGAAGTAGAGTTGTCGAATATCATGCACTGCAATTTCGGTATATAATTGTTCTGTTGGGTATATAGTTGGCTTATTATATATTACCTTTACAATGTACTTTTGTGTTGTCTCAGGAAGTATTGTACGCAATTTTTTAATTACGAAATGTATGTGCGTGTTCCATTTAAGGGTAGAATCTTGGTACACTCCCAGATATTTAACACTGCGCGAAGAAGTTAGTTGTAATTGTTCATTTTGGTTGTTCTTCAGCTTTATGTTTAAATTTGAATATTTGGGCATATATCGTTCACAGGACGAAAATGGGATGTAACAAGTTTTGTTGTAATTTACGGTTAAACGTCTAGAGTTGAACCATTTGATAATCTTGCAAAATTCTGTCTCTGTTAGAGTTTTTAGGTTTTCCCAGGTGTGAGAACTGTATATGATTGCCGTGTCGTCAGCAAAACTTATGATTTTGACACGAGTCTGTGTGGATGCATACCTTACAACAACATTACAACAAAACATTTATCAGAGGAATTGAATAGTTCAAATATTTTTCGAAGCTTATATTCTTATAATGAAACATTACAGTGAATTTTGATATTTTCATGTACTTACCGTTATTCAAATAACACAAAAGTTACTTGAAATATAAATTTACCATAGCAACCAAACTAAACGTGGGCATATGTCACCATATTTGTTTTACACTAGGCTGTTGCCAGATTGCCAAAATGGCGTTTGCCTACTCTTACGGAACGTGTACTCTTAGGCGGGTCTACCCTGTATCGCCAACCAGCACATGCACACACGTGCTACTAATTTTTTAAAATTGTCGAGACATTCTATGAACTCGCGTAGGCATATACTGGGAGGTATATAAATCGAAATTATTTTCAGTTTTTTGTCATCAAATTTAAGATCTATCTCTAAAAATTTAAGATTGTTATCAAGTGATATAATGTGGTCGCGACAATGTACTTCTCTTTTGACAAATACAAATAAGCCATCATTCTTGTTGATATTACGTTCATTATAAAAGTTAGCGTAGCCGTCCATGCCAAACAGAGATGCATCTTCAACTCGCCATGTTTCTGATAATATGATTATGTCAAATTCGTGTTTTATTTCCTTCAAACGTAGTTTTAAACTGTCAAGGTTCTTACAGATGCATGAGCGATGAAGCCCACTTCGTAGTGAACGGATTTGTTAATAAGCAGAATTGTCGTATCTACGAGCCCCTTCCCACTTTAGTTGGCCCACTTCAAGAGTTTTACCAAAATATGCCTTTATAAACTAAACATGACGAAACTATTTACTTCTAAAACAATTTATTTTCTCAAAAACATTTTAGATACACTCTAGTCGTAAAAAATACTTATTTGAAATCACTTAGACCTATAACTAATAGAACATCTGAACAAATAAACAATGTACGAATAAATGCGCGAAGTTAACAAACCAACAATTGAAAGATTACCATTGGGTAACATCACCTTTATTTTTTATTACGGCTGAAATTCTTTGGGGTATAGTGTTAACCAAGTTTTGGCAAAAATTTGGTGTAAAACAATCCCATATTTCTTGAAGTTTTTGTCTCAGTTCGGTGATTGTATGAGCAGGTTGTTGTCGTAGAACCTTTTTCATCTCGTGCCACAAAGTTTTAATAGGTGACAGATCTGGATTGCTAGAAACCCATTTCAAAAGTGGTACATTGAGGTATGGCACACTAATAACCTTTTCTCTACCCATTTTGAAAACCTTAACTACCCAAAACTATTTTAAACGTATTCTGGCAGCTGTGATTAATAAAAACAATTGTTATCGATTTTATTTTTCACAGCCACCTATGCGTTATACGTTAGACTTATTTTGCATTGAAATGAAAATAGGTTGATATGCTGTAATTGCAACATGTGTTATTTTTATGCTGGAAATTTGATTAGGGAGTGATAAAGTTGGTGTTTTCTAGTATATATTATCAAAATATTCATTGTTAATATTTTAAACCTATAACACCCTGCTACATTTTTATTATTTGTGTTTGATAAGAAAAAAACTAAGATTTCAATAGTTGGGCCAACTGAAGTGGGAAGGGGCTCGTAGGCATTAGAGAACCCTCGTGTCATCCATCTTTGATCACAACATCCTCGTCGAGTCACAGTTTGGTGCGGTGTTTGGTGTGGAGGTGTCATTGGACCTTACTTCTTTGAAGACGCTGCAGGTAATTCTTTTACTGTCACTGGCGAGCGCTACCGTCATATGATGCAAAAGTTTCTGGCTCCCCAAATCCAACAATTTAACCTGCAAAACATGTGATTCCCGCAGGACGGAGCAACTTGTCACATAGCTAGGAAAACAATGAATATTTTGCGAAAAATATTTCCGGGCCGTTTAATTTCTCGATTTGGAACTGGCCACCAAGGTCACGAGATTTAACAGCTCCTTACTTTTTGTATGGGGATTTTTAGGAAATATGGTTTATGCTAACAAACCAAAAACTGTAAAACACCTGAAGAACAATATTACGGAAGCGATTGAAAATATTCCTCCCGAAACCTACCAAAAAGTGATAGAAATTGTAATCAAGAGGAAGCTTACGTTTACTTCAGACACCCAACAAACATGTGAAAATGTCATTTCCTTAGTGTGTATTGCATTACTTTGTTTGCTATCTTGCTGTATTCCCACCAGTAATTGGTATATCTGTTGGTGGTGTGTAAGTAAATAGTTTGCAAAGAGCGGCATCGGTAAGTATTATTATCATGTTGATACAAAGCTGTCATTTTGGAAGGCATTGGTAGTCAGATGAGTTAAAAGTATGCACTAAAACAACATAATTTTGACAACAAACAATCCAATGTAAACATATAGGCTTGTTCCTCTTGATGCCGAGCGACTTCAGCACTGTAACACTGTCGTTTTGGCCTGTCTGAACTGGAGTAATATTCGTCGCAGCCGGACAAACTTTGGCTCACGATCATCTCTGGTCGGTGCGGTGTGCATGCCGACACATAGACAGACTGTCAGGCGTGATGATGAAAACGTGCTGCCAGCACGGCATCACAACATCGTGCTATAGTCCTATTAGGCCATCTATACTGTAATTAAAAGCAAATAAAGCCACTTCTGCAACTATTACTTTTAACTCGATTTGTGGCTGGCTGGCAATTTCTTGACCGCTACTATTAAGACGAGAACGGGACATCGCTAGGTTTATTTGTGTCTATGCTTAGGAAAAAAGTGATTGATGATGGATGTGTTGCAGTGTCTGTATTAAGCGTTACATAATGATAATAATAGGTCATTGTAGCCTGCATTGAAAATATATAATAAATGAAGTCAGTGATGCTACGGATTAGATGCAGAATGTCTAAAGTAATATAAAAATCTAGAAATAGTTTATTTGTATGACAGCTAATCTAAATCATCGCATCATAACCTAGCCCGTTGATCATTAACAAAAAACTGAATTATGTTACGAACTAATAACAGCTCTGTACACATATACGAGTATGCTACGGCTAAAACCCGAAATGCGGTGACAACCAGGTTTAGCCGGTTAGAACTAGGTGTAACCACTGACATAATGCCAGCCATACACGTAACGATATACTTGCGCAAACTTAGACTTGCACAAGTATACTCTAGCGTGTGTTGGAAGATTTTTGCGCAAGTGTCTAGTCTTGTACAAGTCGCAAGAACGTTGCAATTTTCGATTCCGAGACTTGTGCAAGTTTACGTTTGCGCAAGTTTACTTGAACGTGTGTGGCAACGAGCGTTCGCAGTTAGCGATGTCCTGCTGCTTGGTTGTACACACGCGTTGCGCTGTTCAGCACCAAAATGAGTGAGAGACGTGGAGTTCGAGAAAATTTGGAAGAATTTATAAATGTGTACAGAAATGAACCATGCCTCTGGCAAATAAAGAACAAACACTACCATAATAGAGATAAAATACCGCCGCTTATAACAAATTACTAGAACTGTATAAGAAAATAGAACCAAGTGCCAACCGAGATATGATAGTTAAAAAAATTAATGGCTTACGCACCAACTACCGTAAAGAAATGATGTTTATGTGATAACATTATGGTATTATGATTTACTGAAATTTCTCGATGACGACCAAGGAGCGCCAAGATATTCTCGTTCCAACATCGTCGAAGATGATAGTTCTGAAGTAAGTACACGAAATTAGCTATTATATTTTTATTTAATGTAAATATTTACAAGGTAACATTTCTCTGTGTGTTTAAGGAATAAAGTTATCTTGCCAAGGTACACTCCCCTCGTTATTAAAGTAATGTACATACGGTTCTCTAACATTTTTGGCAGCAGTTGCATTATTTCCAGAGTTTCGTCGATATAATGGCTCCATGTTTGAATCATGTGATGTTAAACCTGATGTAATAGTTCCATCTTCTAGGTTTTCGTGATCGAAACATTCTGCAGAACTATCTGAATTCGATGACGACGAAAGTTATGCAAAGCACAGCTTGCCATTACCACCTTATCAATGTTCTTGGGTTCTAGATTAATTTGAGTTTTATATATCCGAAATCTAGAAGCCAATAATTGTATATCTTTCTTTCGCGAGAATTTAAATCTGCCTGTCGGTATGGTTTTATCATATCTGTTCTCAAAGCAAAAGCATCGTCGGCTACAAATACATAAGGAAGTATTTTGGAACTTCCTTTTATAGGTTCATCTGACGGGATACTTAATTGGTGTTTTTGAAGCTTGTCATAAAATGTAGTAGTCTGAAGCACACCGCCGTCTGATATCCTGCCGTTAACACCAAAGCTGTACATTATAAATTGGTACCTAGCATCCACTATTGCAAGAAGTATCATACTGTGTCGACCTTTATAATTATAAAAATAGGAGCCACTTCCACTTGGAGAAATAATGTCTATGTGTTTCCCGTCTATGGCGCCAAGGCAATGTAGAAAATTCCACCTATTTTCAAAATGTTTTGCTATATTTTTCCATTCATCTTCTGTTTGTGGAAACTGAAAGCAAAGAAAGTAAAATAACAATTATTGTTCCAGGAAACCATACAAGCTTCAATGAACAGCGATGTTTTGCCATCACAAGATAGAGATGATAATTCTCCGGAAACAGCTAGTACCTCTACACAAATATCAAGTCGCCCTTGACCACCCAAAAGAAAAAGTAACAGTAATCCTCATTCATTAGATTCACCAGATTTATCTACCGACGTATTGCAAGTCGTAAAAGAGCATTTCAAGCGTCCTTTGTTGAGCGAAGACCGATTTGATATTTTTGGCGAAAATGTCGCAATGAAACTGCGCGATCTGCCAATACAGCAAAGGCTGATTGCTGAAAAAATTATAAACGACTCATTATTTCAAGCAGAAATGGGCAATTTGAGACTGCCACATGGAGAGTTCAATGTACGTGAGTTGTATCGCACAACTCCCAGTCCTCCAACATATCAGACACAACAGTTTATTCGTGCAACTCCAACTCCCAGTCATTCAGCACACCGGCCACAACAGTTCATTCGTGAAATCCCAACTCCAAGTCCTCCAATACACCACTCACAACAGTTTAACCAAGGAACCCCAATTCTAAGTCCTCCAACACAACACTCACAGCAGTTCATGCATTTAGGATCAACTCTATCTTCATTGCCACGCATCGAGCAAGAATGTAATGATTCTTCCACGCCTTCCATGCAGTACAATTCGGATTCACAACATTCGACTGAACATACTGAAGTGCAGCCGGGGCATTTATATCCAGCTTCAATGATTGTCAATAAATGTTTAAGAATTAAAAACCTTTTACTCACCTTAAAATAATCGTGCCGCAGTACTTTGTATATCGCTTCACATGTTTCTGGAATAATAACACCCAACGCCTGGGGTGATATTATTGTTGTAAGCTTTAGGTCTTCGTAACTCCTTCCAGTTGCGATAAACCTCAGAGTTGCTGTCAATCTTTCGTGTGGCGATATAGCTTTTCGCATTACAGTATCTTGGTTTTTAATAAGTGGAGTAATCATCGATAGAAGCTTCAAGTAAGTTTCTTAGTTCATACGCAAGTAGTTATGCCAGTCTTTGGGTGCAAATTTCAATTCGTTCACTAAATTGATGTGTGATGAATGTTCTCTTTTCATTAACCAGTCCTTACACCATATAGCTCGATGCCTTTTAGATCTTTTCAGTTTTTTTGTAGCAACTATCAAGCCAACTATCGCCATAGCATCATCAATGGATGCCATCGTCCCAACACAACTCGCCTGCTCCATGACTTTCTCAAAAATGATCGGTCAAATATACTTGCGCTGTGTGTGCTCGAGATAGGATGATGTGTGTTTGCGCAAGTCTAAGCTTGCACAAGTATATCGTTACGTGTATGGCTGGCATTACGTGTAACCTATACATTTATGGCCAAACCTAGTATTAAGCCGGTTACATTCGGTTAAAACTAGGTCCAACCAACTTGATCCCGGCGACACCTTGGTCTAGCCCAGGAGTTCCCAACCAGGGGGCGCGCCTTCCAAGGGGGGCGGAAACCGTTTGCATTTTAGAAAGAAACAACAAAAAAAATACAAACAATATTAACAAATAACATTATAATGTAATGTTTAATTTACAAAACCCGGCGTGGTCAATCGCAGTTTATACAAGTTTCGACATGTCACAACTTGAAATCCGCGCGCACCCCCGCCGCGCTCCGCTTAACATTCATCGTTTAGAAAACTATTGTGTACCTACCAGACGCGGATGAGCATCTGTGACATTTACAATTATGGGCATATAATTAGTAATTACATGTAGGTATTTTGCTTATTTATTTATTACGTATTTGTTTTATTGTTATAGGTGCAAAATGGCAGCGAAGAAAAGGAAGTTTTCCGAAGATTACGTTAAGTTTGGATTTACCTTCATAGAAAAAGGCGAGTTACAATTGCCTCAGTGTGTGATATCTATGAATGTTTTAAGTAATGATAGCATGAGGCCCAATCGCCTTGGAAGGCATTTGAAGCAACAATATCCGTCTCTGGTTTTGAAGACGAAAGAGTTTTTTTCTTCTAAAGCAGAATCACTCAAGCGGCTGAGACTGGATAAATCGGGAAGTTATCCCACAGGTGTACCGCAGCATCTCAAAGCTTCATTTGAAATAGCTTTTATGGTAGCAAAGCAAAAGAAACCTCATACTATCGATCAAGAATTAATAATGAAGAATTAATAAAACCATGTGTCCTAAAAGCCACGCGGATAATTTTAGGAGTAGTTGCAGAGCAAAAAATGAAGTATATTTCTCTCACAGTCAAGCGTATAATCGATGACATTGCAGCAGACATAAAGTCACAAATAATTAATAAAGTAAAATTATCGCCATTAGTTGCGATGAATCCACCGCCATCGTTAATTGTGCACAGTTAATAGTTTATGTTCGTTACATCGGCAGAGATATCATTCAAGAAGAGATTTTGTACGCCCAATCTTTGACAGCAGGTACTACATCTGAAGATATATTTAATTCAATATCAAATGTTGTTGAAAAAAATGATTTGGATTGGAAGAAACTCATTGGACTTTTCACAGATGGCGCACCTGCAATGATATGTGTACGATCGGGTTTAGCTAAAAAGCTCAAGGAAAAAAATCCCGCAAGGATTGTAAACTACATCATGAGCAGCGCTTTGAACAGTTATTTACTTTACTTTGCGAGGATCTCGATTCTGATCATAAAGTTCTTCTGTTCCATATAGAAATACGCTGGCTATTCTAAGGCAACATGTTGGCTCGCCTTTATGAATTGAAAGAAGAGGTAATTATTTTTCTTGAGGTCAAAGAAAAACACGATTTCTTGACAATGTTCAAAGATGACACATTTCAATGGAGGTTGGCTCATTTAACTGACATATTTGACTCTTTGAATGAGCTAAACTTAAAACTTCATGGCAGAAACAACACTACAATAAGCAATTATGACTATGTTCAGGGGTCCATATCAAAGCTTCAACTTTGAAATCAAAAAGTGTCTACTGAAAATGTTATATCTTTTTCTCGGCTTTTCGAATCAATTAAAAATAACATACTGGACGCAAATTTAAAAGCTTACATAAAAACTCATTTGCAAGAGCTGGAAGACGAATTTGACCGATACTATCGAGACATCAATTCAGAGTCACCAATATGACACATGACAAGAAATCCATTTGTTGTCGATGTGTCACAATTACCAGAAGAAGTTCAGGAAGAATTTCTAGAAATGGAGGCTGATTCGTCCATGAAAGATAACTTCCATCTTTTAACATTGGAGAAATTTTGGATCAAAAGATTGCCTGTTAGTTCGACACTCGTCTGTCTTGCTTTACGAATACTAGTTCCTTTTTCTTCAACTTATTTACCTATGTGAGACGAGCTTTTCTGCTCTAGTTTTAATCAAAGCTAAACAGCGAAATCGTCTTGATGTCGATAGCGACCTGATGATAGTTCTGGCAAAAACAGAACCTAGAATCAACCAACTGGTACAGAACATGCAATCTCAAGTACCTCATTAGTAGCTACCCTTGTTTTATTCAAGTTTTGCGGTAAAAAACATTTATTAGTTTGTTTCTTTATTAGAATTAAAATAAAAGTCTTTGTACCTATATAATGTGCGTTTTTTTGTATTTATTGAAAAAGTAAAGGGGGGCATGAAAATCTAATTTATAGCCCGGGAAGCCTCAAAAAAAAAAAAGGTTGGGAAACCCTGGTCTAGCCAATCCTTAGTGATTAAAACTAGCGGCCCGTCAACTCACGTTTATTCGCTGTGGGCGGCGGGGCTTTGCTTAGTATCAATCGTGACACCATATTAGGTAGATGTATGTACGCGTACGTACATTTGAAGTATCGAGTTCGCGCTCGCATTGTGATTAAAAATGGCAATATTCGAAGAATCAGAATCTATGAAATCAAGTTTTTACGGAGACCTTTTTTTATACACTCCAACCACCACGAAGGCCTAAGGCCTAAACACCCATGGGGTACCGTGGGGCTACAGGGGGATACAGGGGAAAGGGGGAACGCCACACGGACTCTGGCGAGGGAACACGTGTGCATGCAATATGCACACATTCTGGCCCTGCCTACGATATCCGCCTGGTGGTACCTCCGCGTTCGACAGTCAGAGATCGTCTACCACCTACGGACAATCACAACATCCATAGCCAAGAGAAAAATTTCTCCTGGGACGGCATTCGAACCCGCACAGCGCACGGCGACTGATCAGGAGACCGAAGAGTCTACTACTGCGGCCACCGCTGCTGCTTGAGCTCATATTGTCTTCGAAACGAGGCGATAATCGTTATATGAGTAATGAACAGTATTTGAAGTATCCCGGAGACGTCAAAGTTGCTAAAAAAGCCACGAAGCGTTCGACATTAGAATATCGCCATTTGAAGCGTTTCGATGTATGTTGCATTGGTGACATCGAGAAGTTAATTGCTCCTTTATCCAATGGCGAATATACCGAGCACCTCAAATACTACGTCAAGAATGAAAACCAGTTCGATGTTCATCACGAAATACATGTGAGCATTGGACATAGCGGGAGAAAAAGGATGATTGTAGAAGCTAACAACTACGCAAACATCACTCAGGAGGCTGTTCTTATTTATCTTGAATTTTTCAAGTCATGTCAAATGAACCAAAATTCAATCAGAAAAGGACTCGTCGTGGAACCAATTTTATCTAATGAGCTGAATATCCGTTGCCAGGTAGGTTTGATAGACATGCAAACGAAGTTCGTACAGCTACGCCCTTTACAAAATAAGACTGCCGAGGAAGTATCAAAGGTAAACTGCTGGATATGTTTGGCATATTCGGATCACCATCTGATGATAGTAGGGAGTTCGTTAACCGAGTTGTGGGAAATTTGACAGAAATGTGGCCAGGTCTAAAGATTCGGCATGGGAAGCCGCGCCATAACCAGTCACAGGGTAGCGTAAAACATGCCAATCAAGATGTCGAAAAAATGCTCATGGTGTGGATGACCGATGAAAATTATCAAAAATGGTCTGAAGGACTAAGCTTCGTTCAACTAATTAAAAATAGAGCACATCATCATGAAATTAAAAGATCGCCGTGCGGAGCGCTATTTGGTTGTGATGTTAAAGTTACCAGCTTTGTGAGGAGGGAGGCGATCATAGCGAGCAAACGTGGAATGAACTACTTGCACACTACCTAGTCTTTAACATGACAATTTTTTACGCTTTTTAGTTTTTTTAGTCAGGCAAATCAGGAGGCTGAGGAACCACAAGAATATTTTTAGTGGCCGAAACTCGTTTATTTATAATACTGTATGTCAAGGAGCAGTATCGGGATGCAACACAAAGTTGTTCTTGATCGGATGAACGGTGGTGAGTCAATAGATTTATCTCTTCTCCGATCATTCTCACTGTCAGTGCACGATATGAATGCACAGGATCCCGGATTCTGTCAATATTTTCATCGATTCTTGAAGATAAGAGCCTTCCGCTCTCTCCCTTCTGAAAATGCCTTAGGGTAAATCGAGAAGGGTTGGCGCATCAGGCGTGATGACGCAGAAGTTGTTTTTGTCGCATCGTTAAACAGGCATTTATTCTAGCAGCACGGCAACATCTTTTTAGTTACGCCATTATATTTTCAATGAGTTGCTGGTGCAATTCGGATTTTTAAGTGGGTGATTTTTTCAAATTTCACTTTAAGATACTCCGAAAATACTTTTATAGTGTGGAATAAGATAGTGTACAGGTAAGTTTAGTCGCATTTATATGGTGAGTCGACGCACTTTTAAAACTGTTTTTACTTGAAAAAATTTGTGTTGGCTAAAAACCAATAACAAACTTAACTGGTACGTTTCTTTTTGCATTATTACTAAATTTTAAAATTAAGTTGAACATCACTCGTTCCCTTACCTTACTCTCTTGGCGAAGTGAAATCATATTTTTTACAGACATGCCTACACAATAGAAAAGAAAAGGAAGCAATAGTCAAAACAACATACATTTTTTGTATCAATAGATACTTTGTTAGTTCCTACTGTGGTTTCTAATTTGTTTAATTTGTTCAGAGTTAGTATTTTTTAGTTTTGTGTTTTCAAGTTTGAATGACTTTAATTTTTTAAGTTCGTCTTTATGTAACAAAGAAAAGGAAGCGTTTCTTGGGGCAAATGATCAAAAGAATATACATTTTTTGTATCAATAGATACTTTGTTAGTTCCTAGTGTGGTTTCTAATTTGTTTAATTTGTTCAGAGTTAGTTTTTTTTAGTTTTGTGTTTTCAAGTTTGAATGACTTTAATTTTTTAAGTTCGTCTTTATGTAACAAAGAAAAGGAAACGTTTCTTGGGGCAAATGGTCAAAACAATATACATTTTTTGTATCAATAGATACTTTGTTAGTTCTTACTGTGGTTTCTAATTTGTTTAATTTGTTCAGAGTTAGTTTTTTTTAGTTTTGTGTTTTGTGTTTTCAAGTTTGAATGACTTTAATTTTTTAAGTTCGTCTTTATGTAACAAAGAAAAGGAAGCGTTTCTTGGGGCAAATGGTCAAAACAACATACATTTTTTGTATCAATAGATACTTTGTTAGTTCCTACTGTGGTTTCTAATTTGTTTAATTTGTTCAGAGCTAGTTTTTTTTAGTTTTGTGTTTTCAAGTTTGAATGACTTTAATTTTTTAGTTCGTCTTTATGTAACAAAGAAAAGGAAGCGTTTCTTGGGGCAAATGATCAAAACAACATACATTTTTGTATCAATAGATACTTTGTTAGTTCCTACTGTGGTTTCTAATTTGTTTAATTTGTTCAGAGTTAGTTTTTTTAGTTTTGTGTTTTCAAGTTTGAATGACTTTAATTTTTCAAGTTCGTCTTTATGTAACAAAGAAAAGGAAGCGATTCTTGGGGCAAATGGTCAAAACAACATACATTTTTTGTATCAATAGATACTTTGTTAGTTCCTACTGTGGTTTCTAATTTGTTTAATTTGTTCAGAGTTAGTTTTTTTTAGTTTTGTGTTTTCAAGTTTGAATGACTTTAATTTTTTAAGTTCGTCTTTATGTAAGAAAGAAAAGGAAGCGTTTCTTGGGGCAAATGGTCAAAACAACATACATTTTTTGTATCAATAGATACTGTGTTGGTTCCTATTGAGGTTTCTAATTTGTTTAATTTGTTCAGTTAGTTTTTTTTAGTTTTGTGTTTTCAAGTTTGAATGACTTTAATTTTTTAAGTTCGTCTTGCTGTAACACAGATTTGTTTTGCAATAAATGCGTTAATATTATGACGTGATGGGTTTTTAAAAAGATTTAAACACATTTCACAAATTAAATATTGAAAGTGTCGTTTAAAAAAATGTGTCAACTGACCTTAGGCTCTGCGTCATCTCTCCGAAATACATTGGGTGAGATGGCGCAACGTTAAGTAAAAAATGAAGCTGGATTTTTGGAAAACTTAAGTTTTAATGTCAAATTCTTGATTCCTAATGAAAACCTAATACTTTGCTTCGTAAAAATCTAGATTTTTTTTATTCATTTATATTAAAGTTTAGAATCTAGAGCAGTTTGAAAAAAAGTGCGTCATCTGTCCCCGATTTACCCTATACCACCAGAAAACCTGACAAAACTCCATAGCCCTGCTGAAGTTTAGCAAGAGTTTCCGTTTCACTGTGCACAAGTCAAAAGCAAAACCTGATAGCACACCATTGCTCGAAATTGATGCCATCCATCTTTAGAACACAATTGAAAAAATCGCTACCAAATATTCGAGCAATTTCAAACTTGTACTGAAGGCGGATCACATGTTTTCCTGTCTCCCCTCCAAAACTTTGAAGGTTGGAACCAACGATGACGAGACCGTGTTAAACACTATAGTGCCCACAAAATATAGAGCATCGAAATGTTTCTACATTAGTAGTATGATATTATTTTGAAAGTAATTTCAAGTGCCGTTATTATGAGAAGCGCTGAGACATTTCGTATCAATTTCAACTAATTCGTGCGTGCGAAATCGTGAATATGAGCAAGTAACAGAAGAGCTGCAAAGCAAAACAACATAAATGCATTATCTTATTATTTCAGTTACAACGGCCACGCTCCTGAGATGTGTCGGATGATACGCATGCTAATCGCTTGTAGATACAATCTGCTGGGTCAGCAATTAGATGGAGTTTAGAGGAAACGGTTGTAAAAATGCTATCATCGTACGTATTAAAAGTCAAGTGTAATTGCTAAATAGGATCTAGTGCATGTAAATACGGTCGTAAATGTCCAGAAGCCGGAAATATCTGAAAATGAGATCAGAAGATCGGCTAAACCACAGAATGCAGCTTATTACGATTAAGCCGTTTTTCGATGGTACAATAAACTCACGTAAATTAACTTTGTACATCCCATCTGCCATCAGTTGTAATAAGTGTATAAGAACACATTTATCATACTTGCAGATGAGTGACTGACTTCCTCTCTGGCCGCAGGATATCCGTCGTAACTGACGGGTTCTCCTATTCATCCCACAATGTCAACGCCGGTGTTCCTCAAGGGTCGGCCTTGGCTCCAACAATGCTTTCTTTACATATCAACAATCAATCCGTTCCACAGTTTTGCTAATAACAGCACTCTACATGCAGGTACTCAGTGTCATGCTGATCTTTGCCTGTCAGCTGCAGAGAAGAAGACCAGCAGCGACTTCCTCTGTGGCAAAAAATCTGGAAGCTATCACTGCTTGGGCAGGCAACAATCTGGTCCAGTTTAATGGTTCCAAAACACAACGACCAACAAGAAGCGCCCTAGCGTTTGTCCAGTTTAGATGGATTGTCGAGTTCTACCAAATCGCCAAAACTGCTGGGATAAAGCTAGGCTATTTTTTGAGGAGCAGACTTTCTAAACGCATTTTGTCCATTTTTTGTAACTTTGGCAAATAAAGAAAAACCACTACATGTTTGGCAAGATATTAACCGAAAAACTGATATGTTAAAAAAATGGATGGAAAAATACTCAAATATTATACCTACATGTGAAAAATCTAGTACCAATTGTATTTTGAAAAACTCAAAAAAACTGTCGGACAAACTGCATTTAGATTGTCAGCCTGGGACATGCATTTTGATTGTCATCGTCGTCATCATTACAATCGCATATGTCAGCTTCTTCGGAAACATCATCATCGCCAGTTTGATCTTGGTTAAGTTGAATGTCGTTTTGCTCATAATTATCAGAAAGAATTGACTGCAACCATGTTAACTCCGGATCTGTGGCCCAATTTACCCCTGACAGTTCCACGAGCAGTTTAGCTCTTTAGTTTTTTTGTTTTTGTTTGTTTTTTACGACAGGTAACTTTAAAGTAGAAAGCTTTTTTCCACGTTTTAATAACGTTTGAAATTGTTTGGAAGGATCGTCATTTCTGTAAAATAACTCGGTCTTAAGCAAAATGTCGCTGTTGTGTTGTGATCTCTCAATAATAATTCGTTTGGCCGCACTGATCCCTTCAATTTTCTTTAAAGAAGTTAACGCAGTTTTTATATGGTGACCACAGGAACAATCAACAAGATGTTCCAAATTAGGGTAATGATCTGAATGCCTTAAAAAGAGAATATTAAAATATTAACGATAATAACATAACAGCCTACAGATGATATTAGCCAAACAATAGCGTATTACAAACATAACCTCAAAATCATTGAAAGTTACCTAACATAACTTTTACGCTCTTTAGATGTGATATTTTTTTCCTTTTTCTACTACCACGATTCGTACGACGAACTATATGATCCCCTTTCACAGGTACATCCATTATTTTGGATTGTTTCGTGAAAAACAGAGAAA